TTTGTGCTGCCTCTCCCTCCCACTTCCGCTCCCCTCGCTGCTCCCGGTGACCTTTCACCCCTCCCTTGGATGTCCCTCAAAGGCAGCTCCCGGGGTTAATAACTTTGGCTGGCAGCCCCACACAAAGCCCCGGCCGGAAACCATTGTCCTGGGGACAATGGCCAAGCAGCCCAATAATGAGGTGGCCACAGTGTTGTCTGACATCCCAGGTTGCCCTGGCAAAGGAGGAGGGGCAGTGGGGCTGCGTGCCCTGGCCTCCTGGAGCTGACCATCCCCGCACGGTGGCTCTTCTTTCTGAGGGGGCACCTGCACCTGTGCCCTCCGATGGCAGGTGGCTGCATTTCCCTGAGACTGGGCTGGGTAACTGTCACACAGAGAGCCTCTCCTGCTCCTTGCACCAGCATCACCATCGAGGCTGTGGCTCCTGTTTCTGCTCTTGGGTCCTGGGGATCTTGAGTGAGTCCTACATGACAATCAATTGGTTCTGGCCAATCGATAAGGGAGCGGAGATCTCAGCCACTGCCTGAGGGGACACATGTGGCATCTGGAAAGAGTTCCTGCTCTAGAGCCAACAGATATGGGTTCAAGGTCTCCCTCCTACCTTTCTAGCTGTGTGACCTTGAGGGAGCCACTTGACCTCTCAGAGTATCCACTTATTTATTCATGAAATCAAAAGTGGGTTGGGAGCCAGCAGGAGGGGCCTTGGAGGTGAGTATCTGTGACCTCCTACAGGCTGTCATGCCCTTGATTCATTCATGCTGTCCTCTGTCTGGTGTGAAGTACTTAGAGGTGTCTCAACAAAACCATGGGATTGATTGCAACACCAATAAGAGGGTCTCAGGCAGCTGTCAGCCGTGTAGCCCACCAGGATTACCTGGAGAGTTTTCAGAAACATGCAGGAATTTGCTCCTAATGGCTGTGGACAGCAGTCCTGGGACTGTGTGTCTGCGTGAGAGACAAGTGGAGATATTTTAACAGGAGGGTGAAGAAACACCAATTTGTATCCTTAGCAAATATGCCAAGTCACATTTATGATTGAGAGCAGCCTTCTTCAGGGGGACACATGTGGCTGGATGGCAGGACAGCCTTGGTGCTCTTGAGCACAGTGTTCCTTATCGTGGGTTTACATCAGCCAGTGATTTGTGCTCAGGGATGTTTTCCTGTGAGCTCCACTTGATTGAGGTCTCGTTAGCACACACTCCAGTGCCCCCCCAGCAGGGCTCAGTCTCTGAGTTTTGACATTTATAACATGCATATGACCACCACCCCAGTGCAGAGAGAGAACAGATGGTCCAGGAAGTCCCCTCAGGGTACAGGGTTTAAAGTCCCTGGGTGATTCCTCCTGGGGCTGTCTGAGCCCCTTCTCTGACTTGCTCAGGACAGCTCCTCACAAATAAGCCTGGCTGACCACACCCTCAGCCCCAGGTGGGGCTGGGACTCTACCTTTCTTCAAGCCCTGCCCATGTTTTGAGACTCCACCCATGTCTTTCCTTTTGCAGATGAGGAAACCGAGGCTCAGGGTGTGGATGCAAGTGACCCCGATACCACGTTTTGAAACTAAGCCTGGACTTGGGACAATCAGGACCCTTTGCCCTTCATTCTTCCTCATTTTTATCTGCACCCTAAGCCTGAAGCCCAAACAAGAGACTAAGGACAGCATCCCGCTGCTCTTTCCTTTCCTGGCCTGCTGCCTGCACCGTCCTGCTTTGGCCAGAGCCCCTTTTGGGTGGGGTGTGCTCCTCTGCCTGTTTTTCAGTGGTCCTCTGCACACCTGCCTGTCCTGGCCCAGGCCATCTCTCAGCATTCACAGTGAGTGTGTGTTTAGGAAGCCAGGCTGGTGGAGCCCTCGAGGAGGAAGACTCCAGAAGCCAACTGAGAGGGGAGTGTCACAACAGGGTATCAGATCCCCAGCTCATTTCCCTCCTTAGCAGGAGCAGCACAGGGCGTGAGCCTCACAGGGGAGGAGGGTCCCTCTCACCAAGTGTAGGACCTGCTGTGAGCAGGCAGGACAGGCAGCCCAGAGGGGCAGGAAGAAGACACCGCCAAGGGAAATGGCTGCTTTCCTTGGATGACTGGAAGCAAGTTCTGGGGACCTGGAGACTTGACAGCAGCATGACAGTGGGCTCTGGGGGACATTCCTGGTGGAACGCGGAGGTGAGCACTCGGCTTTCCTCTGTCGAGGGCCTCCCTGAGCACATGCAGGACTTAGCAGGGCGTGCTGGGCTGGTCCAGGCACTTGCCCTTTGGACACGGGGACCTGGAGGTGCTTGGGCTGCAGAGGAGGAGCCGTTGGGTTTGGGGGCCTGGGGGTCTGGGGGTCAGGTTTTCACACTGCAAAGGCAATCGTTTGACGGCTTCATGAGAGTGTGGATTGCAGAGGCAGGTTGTACTTCACCCTTGTAAGAAGGAACGAGGCTCCTGCACCCTGTCTCCCTTGGAAATGGGTCAGCTCACCTCAGGAGGGAGGGGGTTTCAGTCCCTGAATGTGGACAGCCCAGGCCGGGTGAGGACAGAAGGTATCAGGCCCCTGAGCTCCCTAGTCCTCCTCCTCAGAGTGCATGGGTGGGGGTAGGGAATCACCTTGGTGGCCTTCTGTTCGTCTTCATGTCTGAGCTGCCGTCTTCATAGCAATTCCCCAGGCCACCTGGCTGGGACGCAGCTTCCATTTGCTGCTTAAGATAGACCCACATCTAGGATTTAAAGGAAACAGGCAAGAATGCAGGGGGTTGTATGCTTTAGGAAAGAAGGAAGCAGAATTCCATCAGGCTACAGGAGTGGAATGAGGACCAAGGGCCTCTGATCCCAGCCTCGTCCCTCCTGAGGAAGTACAGAAACTGAGGATTCCAGATCCTTCCATTGACCCCTTGGCCCTGGCTCCCTATGCCCATGCCAGCCTCTGCCCCATCTTGACTTAGTGCCTGGCCTTGATAAATGGTCACTCTTGCTCTCTGCTGTGTCCCCAAGTGCTTAGAGAAGCGCCCAGTACGCAGCACTTACTCAGTATTTGTGGAATGTACGGATTGTCCTTGGGGAATCTCCAGAGTGAATGAGGAGACAGGGAGATGAGGTGGCTGTGGAACTGAGAATATCCTGGGTCCCAAGGATGGACCTTCCACCCCTCATTACCAGGCAGGTGGATCTTTAAGTACCTGGAAAAATAAAATAAAACAGATATGAAATTTAAATAAGAGGTGATGTTGAAGGGTAGAAATGGGGGCTAAGATAGTGGAGTGGGCCTAAGGGAGGGCCACCCCCCAGGCTCCAGGCTGCTGTGGGAGGAACACCCTGCGGGGTTTCGGGAGGATCAAATGGCGGTGAGGTTTGGCCATGAGCAGCCCTGGAGTGGGCCTCAGTCCTGTCCTGGCCAGCGGTGTGTCCTTGGGTATGCCAAGAGGAATTTTCTCTTCTGCAAGATGGTGAGATTGTCCTCCACAGTGGCAGTTTCTTCCAGTTTATCCTGGAACTCAAATGATGAGGTTTTAGGAATCGAATCCAAATGCCCACCTAGCATTGGACATTGGGCCTAAGCTCGACCACCTACTCTCAGGGGAATCATAGGTTCGGTGGCCAGCAAGGATGGCCAGGGTGACACTGCGAGGGCCCTGAGGGAGTGGGGAGAGGTGGATGGTGTGATTTCAGGTGGAGAAGAATATGCCAGGTGGCCTGAGTCCCGAAGTGAGGCATTGCAGAAGAGGCACCTGCCTGCCAACTGTCTGCCAATCAGACTGAGAGCGTCCCCACAGGACCTCACAGGGGCTGCCAGGTCCATGTTCCACAAAGCGGGAACAACTGCTACTTAATTACACAGACAGGGGCGAGGAGTGCAGCTGTCCCCAGAGTTAACTCTCAAGGAGCTGCAACTTCTGTAATTAGTTGGCCGCCAGATGCAGGGGACATGCTTTCCCAGTCCCAGGAACAAGGGGCTACAGGGCTTGTCCACCCCCAACCTTGGCCCCTTGACCACTGCCTCGCCTCCTCACAGGGAGCATTTGCTCTTTGCCGGGAGGGAAGTGGATAGGTCTGGGCGCAGCCTTGGGGCACCTTGCTTTGGCCCTATGCTTTTCTCCTCTCTTCAACTCCTTCCCCAGAAAAAGAGCCCAAGGCTCTGCAAGGGGTCGGGGGTGGGGGGGGGACTCCTAGGAGCCCTTCTGATCACCAGGCCTGAGGGACGCTGGGATGTGTCTTTCAAAATGGAAAAGCCAGGATACACCCCCTTTCTGGGACCCCAGGCCCCCTTCCCCACTGATCCACACTGGCCTTGGACATCTCAACGCCGCATCCAGTCAGGGGCATTGCCGCATGAGATGGCACCTTGACCATCAGATCCCTTTGGGTTTAGGTACGTGACAAGTTACCTCTGGCGACTGCAAAGAATCACGTGTCAATCTCCCCTCTGCGCTGGGCTGCAGCAGCTGGGGCCACACGGAGCATCCGATGATGTTCCTGTTGGTGTAATGCCTGCCCTGAAATAGATCTGCAGAGGGTCATTGGGAGATGGAGGACAGAAACCCCTTGTCGACACTTTGCACCTTCATTTCCTGAAAGGGCACTTTGAATGGCATGGGGACTCCCACCTTCTGGTTGGCTGTCAAGTGAACAGCGTGCAGTGTATACTTAGCACCTTCTTCAGAATGAATCAATGTGGACTGAATAAAATCAAGGAGATCCCAGTTTCCCTAGCATCACCAGCTCACTGTATCTCTTGCTGAAACCTTCCTGTCACATTAGGAAACTTTTCTCTGGTCAAAGCACTCTCTGTAAACTGCAGCACATGGGTGATCAGATTTTGCAGTGGAAATGTCTTTTGAGCTGCAAACCGAGTACCTTTTTCTGGGAAGTGCTTGGGTCTTTTGCAATAAGGGAGCACCAAACCTCCAAGGGGGTAAGGGTCACAGCTGCCTCCCATCCTGTTGACCCAAGAGCCAAAGTGCAAGAGGAGAGGTGGAGGGCTTCGCCTGGGCAGAACACGTTGGTCATTAACTTTGTAAAGGAACCTTCTGAACTCACTGCAGACTACTTGGCTCTGGTGTGTACACACTCAGCTCTGTCCTGGCACATCTTGCTTCTTGATTGTTTGTTTGACTTACTGGAAAAGAGCTTGCCGTTCCCAAGATCCTCTACAGGGTGCACAACGGTGTGTGTGGCAAGGCTCCATGTCAGGGGACAGCCAGTTGGCAGGTGGGGCCGGTGGCATGGGTGCACACTCAGACCCGCCTGGGGTGGGGGCTTGGCACTCAGAGGAGTTGCATTCGGACATCTTCTTGAAAGGAGCTGTCAACGCTGGTCCAAGGGCACCGGGGACTCTGGGCAATCCTGGTCTGCCGGCAGTCTTTTCCTTTCCCTTCCGGCCACCCCGTCCTCCTACCCGGGGTGTAAGGACACCATCCCCAAGGTGGAGGGTCCAGGTGGCAGGCAGAGTGAGATACAGCGGGAGGAGCACTTTCACTGGTGCCATAGAATTTCCTACTCCTGAGATGGAAGGGGAGCCAAGGAGCATCCAGTCCAACTGCCTCACTTCGCCCCCAGGAGGGAGCCAGACCCAGAGAGGGAGGCGGGAAGGAATCAGACCTCATCCTGGAGAGAACCAGGTCTGTAATTCAGGTCCCTGGTGCCCAATCCCTTTCTCATGTGAGTGGCCCCTGCTGCTCCAGAGTGGCCCTGAGTTAGTCTGAGGCTCCTCTGGGAGGGTCACTGGTCTCTCTGTGAAGCCCAAGTCTCAAGGTACTGGCCTCAGGTTTCTGGACAAATCCATGATCCCCACCTTTCCAAAGCTCTGCTCAACCACAAGAAGTTTTAAAATATTTATCATGAACTTTAACCCTAAAAAAACCCTGGGGGTAGAATCACTGCTTCCATTTTAAAATTGAGGTAACGGAAGATGTCGTGGAGATGCTGACCAGCTTGTTCAGAGCCACACAGGTGGCACCTGGAGAGGTGGGCACTGGTACCCTGGTCCTTGGACCTGTGCCACAGGTCTCCAGCTGGGCCCTCCTGCACCTGCAGTTAGTGAGGGGCAGCCCACAGGAAGGGCCAGGGCTGGCTCCTCAGCAGGGGAAGGGACCAAGGGCTAGAATTCATTCTAACCTACACGACCTGATCTTATTTGGACTTTTACTGGCCTGCAGTACACATCCTGCTTCTTTTGGGGAGTTTAGAATTCAGAGTGTATCGATTCCCAAGGGTAAGAGAGGATTTTTGTTTTATACACTGAAAATAATAGTCTTGTCATACAAACTTGGGTTTGAGTTCAGTCCTATCACTTAAGAGCTGTGTGACCTGGGAAAACCTTCCTAACCTCTCTGAGACTTTCTGACTCTCCATAGGAAGATGCACATGCATGTTGGATGTGGAGTGCGTCTGGGGACAGCAGTGCTGTGGGGAGGGATGAGGTGAAGGGCAACATAGGCTGTGCAGGCCTCTGAACTTGGAGGCCTCTGCAGAATGGGCCTGCACTGAGGCAGAAAGCCAATGTTCAGAGTCCCCGTGGACCACTCACAGGACTGGGGCTTGACTTCGGGCGAGTTGGCTTTCTGCATCCAAGTGCAGTTCCCGAGAGGTCCAGAGCTGGGAGTGCGTCCTTCAGTCCTGAAGTGGGGCTGGGTGACGCAGGACAGGGGCCAACCCCGGCACTTCGCAGTGTTGTCTTAGGATGGAGTTCAACCACTGGAACGTCGCCGTCGCCGGGGCGCAGGGGCCGATCCGAGCATGTGCGGCAGGTGTGAAGCCCCTGCACCCTCCGCTTCCCCACTCCTGCTCTGGGCTGAGGGGCTGCTACCAGTCTCCCAGGAAAAGACCTCGGGGACCTCAGAGGAACAGCGGCGGGAGCCTCACCCGGGACCAGCCTCCTTCCATGGCACATCCCAGCTGGCCACCCTTCTGGGGGCGAAGGGTGTGCGCGCGGGCTGGGTACCTCGGCGAGTCCCCAGTGGACTTCCAGAGCAGAGACGGTGCCCCAGGATTCACCTCACTTCCCAAATGATGCGCTTGCATGGCGCCCGGGGCCACCACGGGTGCTCGTCACACCAGGGAAACCTCCGTGGAGAGATGCTGTAGCGCCTGGAGCCCTGGCGCCGACGCAGCAGCTCGGGACCAGGTGCCAGGAGCCCCTGAGCTGGAAATCTAAAACCCACACGCTTTTGAGCAGAGTGTGGAACGCTGCGCACTCTGGAACTTTGTTAGATGCACATAGATATTTAAAAACATCATATAAAATTACCTTCAGGCTATGTGTTAAAGGCAAATGTGTTGAAACCTAAATGAATTTTGTGTTTAGACTTGTGTCCTATCCCCAAAATATCTCATGATGTATATGCAAATATTCCAAATCCCCCAGATCCCAAAGTCTGAAATATATCCGATTCTAAAACATTTCAGATATGGTGTCTGCAACATGTATATGGTTTTCTTTAATCCCCAGAACCCTCCAGGGGGGCTATCATTCCTAGCTACCTTATACAGATGAAGAGCCTGTGGGTCCGAGTGGTCAGGTCACAAGCAGACCCAGTCAGTAAGAGCTAGGACCCAGCATCCCTTTCAGGCCCTCCCTCCAGGTCAGTGTCTTGATCTCTTGCCTGAAGTTCCTTCTTTTCAGGGAAAATGAGGCAGATCTAGGGGCATGCTGGGGAAGAAAGAAAAGCAGGTGTGTGGAGTTAAATGGCTTTGCCAGCCCACACAGGGACCAGAGCGGATAGTGATCACTTCTGTTCGTCTCAAAGGGGTTGGTGGCGTGGGATTGGGGACAAGGAGAAGTCTCCGCCTGGAAGAAGTTTGGGAGTTGGAATGAGTTTGTGAAGAAGGTTGTGGGTCGCCTTCCCTGGAGACGCAAGCAATTAGGACACAGCAGCCACCGGTGGCAGTAATCAGTGGTTCACTGCCCATCAGAAATCAGGGGGGGCTGGCGGAACGGCGGTCGGCCTGGCTGCCCCACTTCTGGACGACCTGTTTTGGAGAAGGAGCTTGCCGACCAGGACCCCTGGGATGGCTGGTTATTCCATCTTCTTAAATCCCTCCCTTCCTCCAGGGACCTGGGAGCGAGTGAAGCCCCTGTGCCTTTGAATCCATTTGGTTCACTTACATAACACCTCGGAGCCCCACCTGCTGCAGGAGGCGGAGGCTGCCTGAGGCCCTGCCAGCGGCTGCTCCTTTTCTGGCAGGGGCTCGGTGTCCCCACTGGTGTCCTTGAGTCTGAAGAGGCGTGTCCCAGAGCTGCCGCCTTCCTCCCCCTCCCGACCCGGTTCTTCCCCTGGAGGGGCTTGCTCTTGGCCTTTCCTGCCTCCCCACCTCCAGGGCTGACCTTGGTTTCCCTTCTGACCGCTTCCCACTCTGGCTGTCCAGGTTACGTCTGCTCTGTTTTTCCAGGAAGTCGCACTATCCAGGAGGTACCAACTGGATCCGGAACCCAGATGTGTTCATTTCAGCCCCCAGGACACCGAGGCTTAGAAGAGAGGGCTCCACTCAGACTCCCGCTCTCTGGCACTTCTCTGTGGGTCAGCCTGAGTCTCCTTACCTGGGAGCAGGGATGGTCCTGATGCTGGTGGTTGCTGGGACTTGCTTGCAAAGGGTCAGATGCCTGCTCCAGAGATGCCATTGAGAGATGGCTGCCACCACTGCTGGTGGTATGACTTTTATTATCCTCTGACGGAAGGCTCCCTTGATAGCAGGATGCTGCAGAGAGATGGTTAGAAAGAGGGAGCCCCTGCCCACTTCACAGACAGTAGGACCCAGGCTCAGCAGACAGCCCAGGGTGGTGGACAGGAGCCCTGGGGGCATATTGCTGCTGCTGCTGCTGCATGAACCTCGAGTCGCATGGAACCCAGGACCTGCACTGGTGGGCTCCTTCTAGGTCAAGGGCTGGGAGTCTGTACAGACCCTGGGCTGAGCATTGACTCCTGGCCCATAGCCAGCACTCTTTTTCAAGTTTAGTCTGTGTTTCCTCCAGTGAACCTTTCTCCATGATTACCAGGCTGGTTCCAGCTTCTCACAGGGAGAATGCAGGTTACAAAGGAGTTCAGAAGCTCAGATCTTTTGCATGATGAACTGTCATTAGGATTCCTGGATTAGCTAAGAGTGTGCGCCTCCAGAATGGGCTGGACCAGTACAGACCCCGGCTGCTGTCAGAACAGTTGATACTGCATCCGAAAGAGGGGTTTCCTGGTTCTTGGATTTACCCTGAAAGCTGACCTCTTGAAGAAACAGCATTGATTTGGGGACATCGAAGGCATAGACTTTTGGGGGACCTCGGGAGAAGTCTGCAGGCATGTTCAAGGACTTTTGAGGTTGGTGGCACTGTTTCTATATGACATACAATTCCACCTTCCTTCTTGGATTCAGACGGTGTCGCTGGAACTGTGACAGCCACAATTAAGGTCATCTATGGCTTACAAACAGGGGATAGAGAGAGAAAGAGAGGAGAGAGAGGGAGGGGGAGGGAGGGAGGGAAGGGGAGGAAGGGAGGGAGGGAAAGGGAGGAAATGATGAGAGGGAAACAGACCTCTTTAAACATCCGAAACATCAGCTGGTTTGATAAACAATTTAGGGTCTTCTGCTGCACCATATCCTGCGAGGCAGGGAGGGGAGGGGACTTCACTGGGGGAGGGAGGAAGGGGTGGAGGAGGGTGGAAGCGCCTGGCAGGAAGGGTCCTTTTGGCTCTGGACACGGGCTGGGTGGCGGGCAGCTGGCAGGAGGAGTGGGCATTTGTAACCTCAGTGCTTATAACTCAAGGTGCTTTTCTTTTGAAGGTAAGGATGACGTGTTGGGGGGGGAGCAGTGGGTGCAGGCTGTCTTGCTGTTAGTTTTAGGGGGTGTCCTCCCATCTTTTATCAACTGATTAATGAATCTTATTCCTTCGCGCACCAGGTGAGCATCACCAGGAAGAGATTAAAAACAAAGATGAAGTGATTGCACCAATATGGGTGAATCTGCCTTGGTGACCAGCGTGTGAACTGGGACCTGCTGTGGGCAGATTTGAACGGGTCCTCTCTGTGGCGAGCTTCTCCAGGGAAACGATGCTAAACCTGGGACCCTGGCGGAGGGGGGGGCGTCAGGAGCCAGGTGGGCTGAGCCATGAGGCAATGGCCACCTCAAAAGAAGTAGAGCTGGGTTCAGTCCTCTGGGCCTGGAAGCTGTGACCCCCGTTAATGTTGCTCCCGTCTTAGGCACTAGGTTCACTGTGGGTGATGGAAGGACCCTCTGCTTATCCCTCCTGGCGACACTAACCGCCTCACGTATTGCTAATCAAGATCTAGAACCCATGGGGAGCACCTGACCTGCCTCCTGTTCACAGGGGTGTTGACGAAAGACATACAGAATTACCCTGGGCATCCTGGTTTCGTTTCCTAACGTGTTTCTGGTCGGGATGTACCCGCCACAACAGTGAGTGCTGGGCTGAGAACACCTCCTGGACACCGTGGGTCCTCCAGGGCCACCGCCCAACGCTCCCCAGGGTGTGTTCTCGCAGATCATGGGTCGCCTCCACAGCAGACACGGCCTAGCCAGCTCTCATCTGAGTCGGGCCTGAGCCCCACAAAACCTGCTGGTCCGGGCTGGGGATGTGGCTCAGGCGGTAGCGCGCTCAGTGGGCATGCGTGGGGCCAGGGTTCGATCCTCAGCACCACATACGAACAAAGATGTTGTGTCCGCCGAAAACTAAAAAATAAATATTAAAATTCTCTCTCTCTCTCTCTCTCTCCCTCCCTCCCTCTCCCTCTGTCTTTTAAAAAAAAGAATATAAAAAAATAAAATTACAAACTTAAAAAAACAAAAACAAAAAAACCCCTGCTGGTCCCAGGCCAGCATCATTTCCTTGGAGAAGCTCACCACAGAGGGGACCGGGTCAAATCTGCCCACAGCAGGTCACATTTCATCACCTCCATGTTTTGAGAAGTGCATCTGATGCACTTCCACATTTCTGTGCCCTAAAGCAGGACTTCTCGATGCATGTTATCAAGTCATTTATTCACTCACATGGGGGGGGGTCGACTTTGGTGTATACACACAATGGAATATTACTCGGATGTAAAGAAGAATGAAACTATGAAACAACACTTTTGCTGTCTTCATGGGAGAAGATGGTGGGTGTGTAGATTGTATGCCTATAGGTTTCTAACCTAGGAGTGATCATAAAGGGTCTCTATCTAATGCTGTGCATCACCCTGACTGACTGTGGATTTTTATGCTGGTCTGAAAACCTTCTTGGCACAGATGACTCAGGATAACGGGAGCGGGTGGCTGACCTTGCAGGTGTCCTCTGTGGGCCACATGCAGCATCCGTAATGAACTTCACTGTCCCTGTGCCCTGGGCCCAAAGCTACTTCTCGCTGCGGCACCAGCGTCCTTCATTTGGTTTCTCAGCCTCTCTGCTCTTGATCATACAGCCACGGTCCTGACTTAAGGGTCCACAACCTGGGCATGGTGGCACATCCTTGTAATCCCAGTGACTCAGGAGGCTGAGGCAGGAGGATTGCAAGTTCGAAGTTAGCCTCAGCAACTTAGGGAGACCCTCAGCAACTTAGCAAGACGCTGTCTCAAATAAAAAATAAAAAAGGGCTGGCTTCTTTTACCTCCGTGGCCCCCAGATGCCTCATCTGTCCCCTGGGTTCTTTGCTGGTCACACAAATACATTGTACAGCTTCTAGCTTTCATTGTCCTTCAGTCGATGTTCTCTCGTCTTGGATGAGGAAGAGTCACAGATAACTCAAGGGTGGCTTGTCCCAATCTTCCCTGAGTAGCTCCAGAACAGACCTGGCCAGGTGCACGGCCCTACAACTGCTGGTGGTGGAGTAAACAGACCTGGACTTTGATTCCAAAGTCATCAATTCCTGGCTTGTGACCTTGGCAAGTCACTTCAGCTCTGAGCCGCAGCTATCTCAACTTTGAAACTGTTCCGATCTCATCAAGAAGTCAGTGAGATGTGGCGTGTAAACCCCCTGACACACCGTGGGTGGAACATTTGGTAACCTCTTATGAGCAGGGAGTGTAAGATCAGAAAATCTTGAGGGGCAGCTGAATTCCAGTAGGTCCAGGGGGAAGAGGAGGGGGTCAGGAAGGAATGGGAGATGACCCCTAAATTTCAGAAGTGGGGCAGCAAGCAGAGTCCGCCTGGGAAGGATGGCGCCTCCGGCCCCGACTTGCTGACACAGGCTGCGTGGGCTCCCTGCAGTGATGGTTGTGGTCTTTTTTTTGGTCCCAGGGATTGAACTCAGGGGGGCTTAACCACTAAGCCACATCCCCAGCCCCTTCTTATTTTTTATTTTGAGATAGGGTCTTGCTAAGTTGCCTCCCTAAGTCACTGAGGCTGACCTCGAACTTGCAATCCTCCTGCCTCAGCCTCCTGAGTCACTGGGATTACAAGGATGTGCCACCACGCCCA